ACTGTGAGCGATAAACATTTATTTCCTTTTGGCCACCAGCCCTGCTGTCACGATTATCTAATTTTATTTGACCTCTCTTTGCATTATTTACTTAGGAGGTTCTCAGCAGATTTTGGCATCCTGATTTAGATGGGTGATGATCCTATATGATTCTGGGCATGTAGCATCTTTGCTGGTTTCAAAACTACAGTCGAGTTTTTTGCCCTGTGTCTGAATAACCCCCTCTGCTAATACACTGTTAAACAATGTCATCAAATGGGGTATCAAATTTGTGAGAACTATCTTTAAAATTCACCGAAAAACCCATCCATTCCTGGATCAATCAGACTGGGCAGGGGATATTATGCTGCGAACTGGCCTGGTCTGATCTTTGGTCCACATGATGTCTTCCCAATCTAATTCACTTAGTCTTCCCCAGCTAACAGTGGGGGAAAGCCAAGAGCAAATCCTCTACTCAAATCTGCTTCTAAAAAAGTCATTATATTTCATAGTTCACAGGAGGAGGGACTCATGCAAATCTCATTTGAAGTCTGTGGGCAAGATATGCTTAAAATGAACCTGACATTTAGGAAGCTCACTTGTGTTCCTCATCTGACCTTCATCCTTCCTGTCTAATTAAGCATTAAATCATGAAACTAATTGTATTTTTCATATTTTTCTTGGTGACCACTCTGAGAGGTGAGTATATGTGGGAATTTTAGAACAATTGTTTTAGCTACACCTCCACTTGTATGATGCTCTGAATTCATTGTAATGTTCTCTTTTTCCAAGGGGCCTTTTCAGCCATTCAGCTCACATCATCGGGACCGGGAACATTGAGACCCGGAGAGAATCTCAATCTGGTCTGTAAAGTGACAGGAGTCTCCATCACTGACAGCCGTTATTCTTGGGACTGGATCCGTCAGCCTCCTGGGAAAGGTCTGGAATGGGTTGCATATATATATGCTGGGAGCAAATACTACGCCCCTTCTCTCCAAAGTCGTGCCACCATTTCTGCAGACAGCTCCACAAACCAGTTCTCCCTTCAGCTGAATTCAGTGACAGCTGCTGACTCTGCTGTGTATTATTGTGCCCGAGAAGCACAGTGAGACAAGGTCTATTGGACATTCGTCAAAAAAGAGGAACACGGACGTCTTGTTTTATGTAGCATTTACAAGTCTTAAGCATGGGGAGGGAGGGAGAACAAAGACACTTCTAATAGGGCAAGCAATCCTTTGACAAAAAGATCTCA